GAATCACATTATAGTTTTCTTTAGCGTTATTGTCAACATTTGTCTTAAAGAATTTAAAGAGTTTATTTACACACATTTAATTTTTTAATTAGTATTTATTTTTATATTCTTAGATTTTATATGATTGAATTTGAATAATTTATTTAATTGAAATATTTTTTTTAATACAGAATGCTGGACATATATACATATATATTTTTTCTGTTAGGTCACCATTGTAATAGAAAGTATTTGGTAGTGTATACTTCTTATTTCTTTTATAATTTAAAAATATTCCAGTAGCATGTTTAAAATTAGTAGCATATCTTTTATAATCTATCCCGTTATTTGTATCCCTTTCAATCCTGATTCATGAATCATTATTTATTTCTTATCCTTTAAATCCATTGATATTGCTTATGATTTTTTTATTATGGTGGGTGAATGATAAATTAGTACTATACTATATTGCTCTATATCTGGTTATGCAGTAGCTTAGTACTAATTTTATTACTTTCAGATTTTTCCTCCTTATCACGAATATAATTACAAGAATTCATAGAATTAAAAATTTTTTGTTTTTATCTGTTTTAAAGTTAAAATGAAAGATATAGCAAACAAACAGATGTAGCGAATAAATTATAATCCGAAGAAGTAAAAAAAGGAATTATATGACAATTTATTAAACAAATACACAGAAATTTTTTTTAACTTTTGTGAACTTACAGTTTCTTAGAACTTCGTTTGTTTTTTAGAACTATCGTAGATGATGTATTTTTTAATTTTTAGTATGTTTATTTTTATGCTATAGATATTCTGAGAAGATATCCTATATTTACTATGTTTTCTAATAGCAAATACGTAAAATTACTTAAAGATGAAAATTTTAATTTTAAAATATCGAGATTATAAGAATTTTTTAATAAAAAATGTTATCTGCAGATAATTTATTGTATATATTAACAAAAATAATAGCATTATGAAATATTGATATTAGAAACGCGAAACACCAAAAGCGTCAAAATTGAAGCATATCATTGGCTAATGATTTTTTTTATATTCTAATCAGTCGCAATAAATTATATTTATATCTAAAGATAGATCTTGACTACTTGTATGTATACAATGCCATAACTTTAAATTTAATTTTTATTTAAAAATGCTTATATATATTGTATATATTAATCCTTAACCGCCTTTTCGGTGGCATATCCGGCTTTTCTTTTTCTAATGCTTTTTCAATGCTTCTTCTATTGTAATTTTTGTATTAATTAACAAGTACATATATTTGCTTGGTACCATTATGCTCCTTAATGTCTACTTTTAAATGAAAAAAATTGTTTACAATATGTCCATTTTTATGAAAGTTATAAGCAGTCGAATTTGATTGGGTATGTCATATTCAAGTGTATTTTTGTAGTGTGGCGTTTAAGGGTTAAATAAAAACTTATTAAACTATTTATAATTCTAATATTTCAGATTAAGATTTTTATCTTTAAATGACCTTAGAAATCTAGTATTATTAAATGGTGTATTATACATATATATATCTGATATGCTCTATAATTCTATATACATAACATACATTTTATTATGATTGTATTTTGTTATGTAAAATTATTGGAACTATTCAACATTTTGATACGCATGAATGTGGAATCGTCGTATTAATCTTCGGTGCGATTGTGGTGTTTGTAGTTTTTGTTTTTTACTGTGAACAAAGTTTTCTTCAAGTAAACTAATTAATATGCGCTCGCGTGCGTGTATAAATATACTAATATTATAAATTAATCTCTTTGAATTATGGTGGCTGGTTATACTTGTTTCCGATATGTTTGCATATGTACGAGATTTACAGAATTTTGCTAATTATTAATTTAATTGTGTATTATTGTTGTTACTTTTAAAAGTGTTTTTGCAATGGTCAAAAGTTTGAAATTATATTTTTCATGTAATGGAAATATGTAGAATTAAGAAAGTTAATATTTATTTCTTAGTTCTCTTTGAATATTTTTTCAGATCTTTGGCCGATATTATGTATATGAATATTTTTTATTGGCTGATTGTAATTAGTGCTTTATATTTAATTGTGCTTTATAAGAAAAGGTCATTATATTTAAAAATTGATTTCTTGAACAATTTATATGAATGTATAATTACAAAAATATCTTTATAAATTTTAGATGCAATACGGTAAAATTAAATAATGTAATAAAATAATTTTAATATTAAATCTAATTTTTTAAATTGTAATTTTTTACTGTTTTTTAATGATAAAGTTATTAATTATAGAGCTCTAATAAAAGCAATATATTTTTTATTAAAAATAATGTTAAATGTAATGACCTTCTTTAACAAATAGCTTGAAAATTATATATAATTGATCTTCAACAGGAACAAGATAGACTATCAAACAGAGATCGATCTACTAGAGAAGCTGAGCAGGAAAGGCAGTGGAAACAATTACAAGCATTACGTCAACAACAAGCACAATTGCAGCAGCAAGTCATCCATGAACAACGCGTACATGGTACATTTACTATATTTAATTCTATCTTAATAGTTTGGAGCACTATTCTGTTACATTTTTTTATAATTTATATTTTATATTTTATTTGAGAAAAATCTAAATTTAGTATAAGTTGAAGAAAGGTATCAGAAAATTAAAAATGTATAAAAAGAAATAAAACGATTTTTACAATTTATTATTAAAAACACAAAATTTTAATTTATTAATTAAATTGATATATTATTAATAAAGAAAAATTTTATGTCAATATAATTTAAATCACAATTATAATATTTTTTTTCTGTTTAAAGCAATTGCTAGAGTACATAGACAAATCAGTGAAGAAAATGCACCTCAACTAAGTAGTGATACTGCACCCGCATTAACAACACAATTACAAGTTTCCACAACCCAAGTAAGTCTGTTTAATCTTTTTCTATTTTGATTATATATATTGTAATTAATTATATTAATTATATTTTTAATTCCATATTAATGTATATTTTTAATAAAATACTTTAATAAAATTATTTTAAGTCACCGAGACTAGAATATGATTTATCTAATATGTTACATGCAAATTAATGAAACTGACAATATATTCACAAATTGTTTAAAAAATAAAAAATACAAAATAACATAAAATAAAATAATCTACATATTAGTTATCTATATATTAATATTAATTTTAAAATTTTGATACAGGACGCGAGTCAACTAACCTCCTTAGCTTCTCCTTCCCGCAGTACTTTCGCTACGCCCACACTCAAAGCCCCTCGTAGTCTCACACCTCAGTCACCCCATCATCAAACTATGGTACGTCTGCCTGCGCAAGCACCTTGTCGAGTAATACGTCCGGGCTTTCCTCAACCACCGTCTCCTTTCTCACCGCAAGCGCCTCAATCACCTCATGATTTCCCACAATCCCCGGCCTCCTCTCAACCTTCTCAGGAGTCACATTTCCAACGCTTCGAAGGTAATGTCTCAACTCCTGCATCCCCCTATTCGTCACCACAGACCCCAGGTACGCCTCGCACTCCCGTGTTTAATCCTCCGCGACCTCCCGTATATGCTCCTCCTCCTCCCCCTCCTCCTCCTCCTCCTCCTCCTCCTCCCCCTGCAACATCCCGAAC